AAGCCACCAGCCCAGGAGTGTGAAGCCTTGAGAAAGGGAATGGCGGACACTACCCCTGCCAAAAGTGGGGGATAGGAGTTAAGGATGACAGAGGCGTCCCCATACGAGGAAGCAGTGGATTCAGCATTTGAAGTCAGGTTTATTTTTAAGTTCATGCTGCCTCCATTAAGAAGCAAGAGACTCCGGTGGTTTCTGGTGTGTGCCCTCCGGCAAATCACTTCATCTCTGGGGTAAGCTGCAAAGGCCTGTGCTCCCAGGAGTTGGCGTATCACTCACCAAGTGGGAACAGTCCTAATTCGAGGATTTCATGTGTGTGACAGACAGGGTCTAGCTCTGTCACCCAGGGGCTGGAGTGCAGTGGTGACATCACTGGTGGTCGAGCATAGTGGTCGAGCTCACTGCAGCCTCGACCTCCCAGTCTCAAGTGATCCTCCCGCCTGAGCCTCCTGGGCAGCTGGGCCCACAGGTGCCATGACGTTTGGCTAATTTTTAAATATTTTGTAGAGACGGAGTCTCCCCATGTTGTCCAGGCTGGTCTAGAAAGCCCAGGCTCAAGCCATCCCCCTCTCTCGGACTGTCTGAAAGTGTTGGGATTACAGGGGGATTACAGGCATGAGCAACCGTGCCTGGCAGAGGATTTTTTTTTTTTTTTTTTTGAGACGGAGTTTCACTCTTGTTGCTTGCTGCCCAGGCTGAAGTGCAATGGCAATGGCGTGATCTCGTCTCACTGCAACCTCTATCTCCCAGGTTCAAGTAATTCTCCTGCCTCAGGCCCCCGAGTAGCTGGGATTACAGGCGAACGCCACCACAGGCGCATGCCACCACACCTTTGTATTTTTGGTACAGACGGGATTTCTCCATGTTGGTCAGGCTGGTCTCGAACTTCTGAACTTGTGATCCGCCCGCCTCGGCCTCCCAAAGTGCTGGGATTACAGGCGTGAGTCGCATTTCTTTATTAAAGGTTGACCGTCATCAACCTCCACTGGCTCCACCTCCTCCGCGCCCCGGGGCGCCCCGCACAAAGATGGCGAAGTCGGTGCTGGGCGACTGTGCCTCCGCGCCAGGGGTGGAGAACCGAAGCCCCGCCCCGGGGAAGGCGGCCCCGCCGGCTAGTGCTGACTCGTGTCGGTGCTCCTGCGCCTGCGCGGAGGGAGACGCGGGACAGGTGCGCGTGCGCAGTGAGCGTCTGCGAGAGCGACTTAGACGCACTCGAGCTGAACCTCGGCTGCCTGCGGGTGGTCAGGGTTTTGGCAATTCCCCGGTGTGAGAGGGGTCGGGTGTGCTCCCAGCGGCGACGGGGCCGAGTTCACCAGCGGCCGGGGCAGTAGTCGAAGGCCCGGCCCGTTATGTCCCGGGTGCCGTGGTGCGGGCAGTGAACGCGCGCCGGGCGGGATGGGCCGACGCCGGGCGCCAGAGCTGTACCGGGCTCCGTTCCCGTTGTATGCGCTTCAGGTTGACCCCAGCACTGGGCTGCTCATCGCTGCGGGCGGAGGAGGCGCCGCCAAGACAGGCATAAAGAATGGTGTGGTGAGAGCTCAGAGCCACTGGGGCTGGGTCTTGCTGTGGGCTGGCGGCGATTCCAGGGTGGCCGGGGGTCGCGGGGCGGGCCACACTCCAGCTTCAGGCCCTGCCCACTTCTGTTGGGAAGACCCGCTTGCCTGTCGCCCCGGCGCGAATTTCAGTCGAGAACTCAGCAGGCAGAGGAGAGGCTTTTAAGGTAAAGTGAAAGCTGCACACAGCTGCAGAGCCGGCAGGAACGCTTCAGCTCCGCCTCGGAGCAGCTCCAGGGCTCTTATTCTGGCCTTTTCCCGGAGGTCTTGCCTGCCCTCTAGCAGCGGCGAGAGTGGTGCCTTTGGGTTTAGGCTAAGTTCCTTCCCTCTTCTGAGCTTCACCCTGTTCTGTAAAACGGAGGTAATAATCCCAGTCCTGCTCAGTGTAGAGATTTGTGAGGCCCAAATGAGAGAAAAAAGACTCGAGAACCCCTTGTGAACTATAACGTGCAGAAAGTAAAGGGGTAAGACATCAGACTGTTCCTAGACGTGCTCTCTGGGCACCCCTGAACTTGCTCATCCGGGTTCCCCCTCCCACAGCACTTTCTGCAACTAGAGCGGATTAATGGGCGCTTGAGTGCCTCCTTGCTGCACTCCCATGACACAGAGACACGGGCCACCATGAACTTGGCACTGGCTGGTGACATCCTTGCTGCAGGGCAGGATGCCCACTGTCAGCTCCTGCGCTTCCAGGCCCATCAACAGAAAGGCAACAAGGCAGAGAAGGCAGGTAAGGAGCTCTCTCCCTCTCTACCCGCTTGGGGAAAGGGTTGAACGAGTAAGGTCACTCTTATCTTGGTGTCTCTAAAGAAGTGGGTCTGGAAGTAGGGTTTTGGTAGCAAGCTAGAAGCTGTATGGGCACCTGCCATGGAGAGAGGGGCCAGTACTCCTTACTGTAGAAGCCTAGAACCTGGCCAAGTGTTTGTGTTACAGGTTCCAAGGAGCAGGGGCCTCGACAAAGGAAGGGAGCAGCCCCAGCAGAGAAGAAATGTGGAGCGGAAACCCAGCACGAGGGGCTAGAACTCAGGGTAGAGAATTTGCAGGCAGTGCAGACAGACTTCAGCTCCGATCCACTGCAGAAAGTTGTGTGCTTCAACCATGATAACACCCTGCTTGCCACTGGAGGGACAGATGGCTACGTTCGTGTCTGGAAGGTGTGGGTTTGTGGGGTTAGGGAGGATGAATGTCAGTAACAGCAAGACCAAAATTGTGAGAAGCTGAACGTGGCATCTGGGAAACTTGTGAATGAAGCTTGCATTGGGGGCCATTAGAAGGGAGTGGCGTGGAGATCAGTCACAGTGTACTTGCTGGACACCTGAGTTAACTATGGTGGTGGTTTGGCTACAGGTACCCAGCCTGGAGAAGGTTCTGGAGTTCAAAGCCCACGAAGGGGAGATTGAAGACCTGGCTTTAGGGCCTGATGGCAAGGTGAGGGGGTGGGGGTGGGAGGAGGGTGGAGAAGGAGAGAGGAGGTGCTTATGCTGCTTGCCCAGTGAGTGGCTCCCCTAACTGTCCATCCTTGGAATCTTTATTCCTGACTAGTTGGTAACCGTGGGCCGGGACCTTAAGGCCTCTGTGTGGCAGAAGAATCAGCTGGTGACACAGCTGCACTGGCAAGAGAATGGACCCACCTTTTCCAGCACACCTTACCGTTATCAGGCCTGCAGGTGTGAAGACTTTGCGGGGTGGCTGAAAGAGGCATAGCCCAGCTGTGATAGGGGAGAGGGAAAAGACTGGGGATGGGAGAGCTGGGGAGGAACTTGTTGAGTTTTACCTCAGGTCTGACCAGGGTGCAGGTGGTGCACAAACCTCTGAGGAGGGTTGGGCAGGACCCGGGAGCTGAATAGCTCCTCATCCGGCCCCCAGGTTTGGGCAGGTTCCAGACCAGCCTGCTGGGCTGCGACTCTTCACAGTACAAATTCCCCACAAGCGCCTGCGCCAGCCCCCTCCCTGCTACCTCACAGCCTGGGATGGCTCCAACTTCTTGCCCCTTCGGACCAAGTCCTGTGGCCATGAAGTCATCTCCTGCCTCAATGTCAGGTGCGAGACATTGCTGCCTTGGCTAGGTGGGGGTCCCTGAGGGAGCTTGGAAAGGAGTCCTGCCTGGGTCCCCGCGGACCGGGATTGGGGTATGAGGGTTGCTGCACAAGCCTCCAGGACAACGAGCACTTTATTGTTTGTTGCAGTGAGTCTGGCACCTTCCTAGGCCTGGGCACGGTCACTGGCTCTGTTGCCATCTACATAGCTTTCTCTCTCCAGGTAATGGGTGGAGGTTGGCATGGCCCTGTCGGTGGACTGTAGGCCTGTGTCTACCCTGAGTGTGCAGGAAGGAGTGTGGCCCGTTCTATAGAGGGAAAACCTGGGGGTGGGGAGCATGCTTTCCAGAAAGACAGTTCCCAGCTAGGCCTTTCCTCACTCGTTTTCCTTCTACCCGCAGTGCCTCTACTACGTGAGGGAGGCCCATGGCATTGTGGTGACGGATGTGGCCTTTCTACCTGAGAAGGGTCGAGGTCCAGAGCTCCTTGGGTCCCATGAAACTGCCCTGTTCTCTGTGGCTGTGGACAGTCGTTGCCAGCTGCATCTGTTGCCCTCACGGCGTGAGTCATTGGGCGGGGCAGGCAGGCACCACCCCACCTTTAACTGGAGCAGAAACATGCCCCCCGGGGGCTACGCTCTTGTTTGTGCCACTCCCCCTTTGAAGGGTTCTGGTTTTCAGGCTGGGAAGCCCCTTTGCCTGCTGACCTCTCCCTTTCCCTCCTGCAGGGAGTGTTCCTGTGTGGCTCCTGCTTCTGCTGTGTGTCGGGCTTATTGTTGTGACCATCCTGCTGCTCCAGAGTGCCTTTCCAGGTTTCCTTTAGCTTCCCTGCTTCCTGGGAATCAGGAGCCTGGACACTGCCATCTCTAGAGCAGAGTGGAGGCCTGGACTCCCTTTGCTCACTCCATTCGGGTCCACAGCTGAGGCTGCCTCTGATAAGATGAATGGGCACTGCCTTCCCTTCTAGTGAAAAGGCTTGGTTATGGCCCTGCCTGACTCTGGGCCCCAGGAACCCTGCCTTCATCATCTGTGGATCCATCCAGAACAGTGGTGTCTGAAGCCCAGGTCATACTCCCTGCCTCTTTCCTTCTGCCTATTAGAGGCTCGAGAGTTGAGCTTGTCCTTTCTCTAGAAACATGTGAAGATGCCCAAGAGCCTGGAGGCACTGCTGTCCTTCCTGCAGAAACAGTTTCTCCTCCTCCCCTCACAGCCTTGGGGCCAGTTCCCCTTCACATGAAGCCCCTGGCATTTGCTGGGGAAGGGACTGGCCTGGTACTTGCTGCTGGGGCAAAAAGACGACTTGAGTAGTAATCTGGGGGTTCAGATGGGTAGCACTAAGCCAGCCGGCCTAAAGATGCAGTAAGTTCCTAGATAGTCTAACCTTGAGGAAAGGGAAAATGAACCTCAGCCCACTAGGCAGGAAAAGTTGATATTTAATAAACAAGGAAAGAGTGAACTGAGACCCCCAATGGTACTCTTGTCAGCTATTTCTGTCCTCAGAAGGCGAGAGAGCCCAGAGGTCAGGCAGCCCCTCTGGGGGCTGGAAGATGGCTCTGGCGTACTGATGCAAGAGGCAGCTCATGTAGCAGTGCTGCCATGGGAGCAGCCGTTCCAGGAAGCCGACGTGGCCACCCCTGGCTGTGATGAGCAGCGCAACGTAGGGGGAGTGTTGGGTGGCCTGTATGGGAAGGGCTAGGAGAGGGTCAGGGGTCAGAAACGGCCTTTACTGGGAGCCCAGGCTGTCTGTCGCGTCCCTCATGGCCCATTTTCCTTGGGGCCAAAGTGTCCTGATTCAGAGTACTCACCACCGACGGGGGAGAAGGGGTCATCTGCTGCATTGAGACAGAGCACAGGGATCCGGATGGCATCTACCTTGGTTCTAGGGCTTGGCTGCTTTGTAGTAGGTAACACAGTCTTGATATCCAAAGGCCACAGATGTGTAGCGCTCATCAAACTGGCGGATTGTGCGGGCCTGCAGGTGTTACCGTAGGATAGGCTAAGATGATAAAGAATGGGAAGATAGTGGAAGACTCATTTGGGGGGGCCCAGGGGCATGGCTGAAGATTATACCTGTAGCACAAAGTCTATGTCCACCACCTTTTCAATCACCTTTCTCTTTCTACAAGAGTACATAAGAGTTTGGCTTGACACCTGGACGTGATCCCCCGCCCCCAGGCCCTGTCTTACTATCTCATGTGTGAAGAAGCCCAGAGAGAACTGACCGAGCACTAGGAGAGCTTGGAGTGTCTGCCATCCTACTCTGTCTACTGCCTCCTCCCACTTGCCACGACCCTACCGTTGCACAAGCTGGCAGAGCGCAGCAGTGAGGGGCCGATTGAAGAGCAGTGAGTTGAGTGGGGTTTCCAGGGAGCGGGTGGTCTCAGAGGAATCCCAGCATGCAGACAGAGTCAGTGCTGCCACCAGCCCTGCAGCCTGCCCGGCCTGTGCCAGGTGATTCAGCACCAGTATCCTGTAGAATTGGACAAGGGATCATGAAAGAAGGGTTTGCATTAATGTGAGTTGGGACAGAGGGAGGGGACATGGAGGAGGAAAGGAAGACTGGGCCTCTGGGTTAAGCCTAGGCAATCTTTACCCTCCAAAAGAGATGCCCACGGCTAGCAGTGGAGCTTGGGCATAGCGGTGCTTTATGTGGTTCACGACTGTCTGTAGATCTTCAGTATTGCTGGCACAAAAAGCCCTGTGGGTCTGAGGGCAAATCAGATCATTAGGTAGGGAGGGAGACCGTGGTCAGAAGGTGGAGGGGAAATTGAGGAAGGAGAGGTAGGAGGTAGAGCCCCAGGGCCAAGGATCTCTAAAGGGAGTGGGTGAAGGGCTACTATGAGGAAGGCCGCTACTCACCTGCAGTTCCTCCCCACGGCAGCCCCGGTTGTTAAACACGACAGCCCTGTGGCACACAGGTACATCTTAGCTAGACCCTTCTTAGCCCCTCTTCCCTTTCAGTAGTCTTCAGAAAGACCCCTGTCCAAAGATTCCCTTCGTGTAGCATTCTTCATATCTATCAGTGTCCAGATTGATTTCTCCCTAGTACACGTTCTCAGATGCCACCCCACTCCGGGGCTGCACCCATCCTTACTGGTAGCCATCCCTCAGAGCTTGGTTAACTAGGTGCAAGATGTATGTCTCCTGGCTACTGCCGGTGATGCCAGGAAGCAGCAGCACAATGGGCTGGGTAGTAGGATCAGGGTCTTGGCTGCTGTCAGGCTGCTTGGCCCAGTCTAGCAGGAGCTGGCCTCCATCTGGTGTTTGGAGGATGTTACTGTGGTTTTGGAGGAAGAGGCACACAAAGATAACAATGTGATTCAAAAGCTTTGTCCTGTGCCCCACCCATAAACGAGTCTCATAACTTCCCATCAGCATCCTCTGAGGGTGTTTTTCATGTAAAACAGTAAGGCTTGACAATGTGGGGTGGGGACATAAAAGATCATGACCTGATGGCCATGCAATTATATAGCCCTTCCATATAACATCCACTCTCATTGTACCCTCAACACAGGGATGTAGATGAGACAGATTACCTACATTTTAAAAGTGGTAGATTTTCCCTAGATACCTGGGGTTTCACGTTCACCCTGTTCTGTCCCTTCTTACCTCTGATAAAAGACTAGGGGCTGAGACTGCAGGAATACTTGGAAGATGCTTTGTAGTCACCCCTCAAAACACCACAGCGTTGGGTAGAAAGTCTCCGTGGTGATGGAACAGTGTTGCTCCAGGAAGGCCAGAAACTGGGGCCCAGCCACCAGCCGAGGCCTCTGTAATCACACAACAGTCTGCCCCACTTCCCTGACTTTTGCATCAAGCTAATGAGGCACCCAACACCAGAGGGTGAGAGGGCCCCTCTCCAGAGGACAGCCGGGAGGACCCTGCTTTGTCTGCACGTGAGATACTCAGCACAGCTCAGTTGAATGGCCAAGTCTCTGATAATACACTCCAGCTAGAGCCCCTAAAAACCCAGTCTTGGAGTGTCACTGCCCAGAATTGACCCTGAACTGGGAGCTGCTGAGTTGACTGACTGCTGACTTTCCTGCTCAGCCTATCCATGCCCCAAACCCATTTTGGAGACAGCAGGTAATGTAAATAGCCAGGTTCAGTGGTGTGCGCCTGTGGTCCCAGCCACTTGGGAGGCTGAGGTGGGAGGATCGCTTGAGCCCAGGAGTTCAAGGCTGCAGTGAGCTATGATAGCACCACGGTTCGCTAGCCTGGGCGACAGTGAGACCCTGTCAATAAATAAGTGCCCAGCTGATCCCCTGCAGAAAAAGTCGGGGTTCTGGGCAGGGGCTGAAGAAATGCAGCACCATTCAATCTTCAGCCTTTACTTTGCAGTTGAAAATGAAGCCGACCGGGCGCAGTGGCTCGTGCCTGTAATCCCAGCACTTTGGGAGGCTGAGGCGGGTGGATCATGAGGTCAAGAGATGGAGACCATCCTGGCCAACATAGTGAGACCCTGATTCTACTAAAAATACAAAAATTAGCCAGGCATGGTGGTGCATGCTTATAGTCTCAGCTACTCAGGAGGCTGAGGCAGGAGAATCGCCTCTGCACTCCAGTCTGATGACAGAGCAAAACACTGTCTTTTTTTTTGAGACAGAATCTCTCTCTGTCACCCAGGCTGGAGTGCAGTGGCGCGATCTTGGCTCACTGCCAGCTCCACCTCCTGGGTTCATGCCATTCTACTGCCTCAGCCTCCCGAGTAGCTGGGACTAGAGGCGCCCACCCAGGCCGGCCTAATTTTTTGTATTTTTAGTAGAGACGGGGTTTCACCGTGTTAGCCAGGATGGTCTCAATCTCCTGACCTCTTGATCCGCCCGCCTTGGCCTCCCAAAGTGGTGAGATTACAGGCGTGAGCCACCGCGCCTGGCCTAAGGGGCTTCTTTCTACCAGGGACCTTATCTTCTCTTACTTGTGGGGCCCCTGCTGTTAGATTGTGCTTTAAAGGAAGAACAGCCCTAATGTGGATCGATGTTTTTCTTCCTTCATGCCAGCCAGGGGGAAGGTGACAAGGATGAAATAACAGGGACAGATGAGGTCAGTGGGCACTGAGCCCTGACTTTTAGCTTCTCTGCTGTATTCTGGACAGACCTCAAGTGAATGAGAGAGCCTAGCCACGTAGAAGGCATGTGAAGGAGGAGTATGCCATAGGTTCAAGAATAGAAACTGCATATCTGCAATGAGTCCTAAGGAACATGAAGACCAGGTTTCTATCTCCAGTATAGTCCCCATACTCTACAGGGGCAAATGGCAGAGAGGCCAAGTTGATAGTGCAACTGTTGGGAGATGTGACTTTCAACCCTAGTCCTTAAGCCCTGGAATTATGACAGCTGTCAGTCGTGTGCAGGCACTGGACTAAGCCCAAGCTTATGAGGTATTTTATAAGTGAAGAAGTTATGACTGACAGATGTTAAGTGGTTTGTCCAGTTACACAGCAAGCAAAACAAAATTACTAACTATGACATTACCACCAGTACTTGTAGGTAAGATTTGTTGAGTGCTCATTAAGCTCCAGGCATTGTGCTAAGCACTTCACACAAATTTTGTCTTGTGATTTTCACAATGGTTTCATGAAATAGGTTGTATTTGAATGCTGAATAACTTGTCAAAGGTCAGAAGCATGCCAGAACTAGTTAGTGGCAGAGCAGGAGATTCAAACCCAGGTCTCTCTGACTCTAGAGCCTGCACTGCCTAGTCACTGTTGTGTATTGCCTCCTAATTGCCAAGATTTTGAGTTGCTATCCATTTTTTTTTTTTTTTTCTCCTTGAGACGGAGTTTTGCTCTGACACCCAGGCTGGAGTGCAGTGGTGTCATCTCAGCTCACCACAACCTCTGCCTCCTGGGTTCAAGCGATTCTCCTGCCTCAGGCTTCCGAGTAGCTGGGATTATAGGCATGAGCCACCATGCCCGGCTAATTTTTGTATTTTTAGTAGAGACAGGGTTTCTTCATGTTGGTCAGGCTGGTCTCGAACTCCCGATCTCAGGTGATCCTCACACCTCTGCTTCCCAAAGTGTTGGGATTACAGGCGTGAGCCACCGTGGCCGGCCCTAAGGAAGACATTTAGTAAACAATAAATGCTAATGTAGAAAGCTCTGAAAATATGGAAAAGTCTCAGTAACACTAAAGACTCCTGTAGACCTTTTTAAAGGACTCGAACCAGTAGGTGTCTTGTTAGACTCAGCTACCTAGAACAGAGTTTAATGAAGATGAAAATATTTGGCTTTTCCTGGATATGTAAATTATGTATTTATCTAAATTTCAGTGAGAAAAATCTCCAAATTCATCAAAATCAACCTCTTCAAACTTTCTCATCACACTATATGGAGAGCCTGGAACATAAAACAGGGCTGAATGAGCAAGGACAGGGTCATCCATCAGTTCTGGGCTAGGCCAGTTTCAGGCCTCAGCCAGCCCTTAAGGGAAGGGAGGCCCTACTAAGCTATTTGGGGGGTGGGTGGTGGTGGGAGTTAGCCATGACCCCACAGACCTCTGGTTCCTTCCTTCAGTGCAGCTGAAAGACTCAGCTAAACCACCTAAAAAGGAACGCAAAGTGTGCACATCTCTGACACCTCAGGATGCCTTCCAACCCACTTTTCCCAAATGCTTGTCCACATCATAGAGAGCAGCACCCTCCGGTGCCCAAAAGGCCCAGGTGGCATGGGGAGCACATGGGATGCAGAGGCACTAGGGAGGCAGAGCCGAGTCTCCATTCGGTGGGAGCAAATTTCATCTGTGGGGAAGCCCAACCATTCCAGCTCCCACCAAGGGCTCAAGCCCGTGTCTGGAAGCTGCCCCTACACCCAAACCCGCCGGCCAGAGCACTGGACCCGCACCCACCTGAAGGACACATGCCCAGTAGTAGCCCAAGTAGAGGGCAACGGCAAGAGCCAAGGGCAGAGAAAAGGTGTCTGCCCAGGTGCCATTCTGGGGGCTCAGGAAGGAGTTCAGCATCTTGTGTTGGGGGCTTCCGACCCTTAGGCTCCTGGCTGGCCCCGGCTCGCCGGCCGCCTGCCATAGGCAGCCTGTGCAGGTCCTGTCCCCGCTGCCGGCCGTTCGCGCTGCCCGCCCCGCCCACCGCCGGTGCCGGCGGCTAGGCGGCGAGAGGCGGTGCTAGTTGGTCGCTGGGCTGGGCGGCTGCGCCTAGTGTCCCGCGCGGAAGTAACTCGAGCGACCTGCGAATGGCCTCCCGCCCTCCCCCACCTTCTGCTTCCCCTCTGCGGTTCCTGGCTCTGGAGCCCGAGACAAGCGGCCTCCCCCAGCTGCCATCTTGGTGCGCGGCATCTCCAGCTCCCTCAAACTCTTCCCCGGCGACGCCCTGAGTCCAGCAGCCTGGCCAGAGCCCCTCAGGCACTCGCAGTCAGTCACACACAGGACACAGCTACTCCCACGGTGACATTCTGCTCTGTCACAGACTACAGTCATTCACAGTGACCCTCACCAGTCACTGTCCGACTGTGACACCCCACACTGTCACACAGCTTTCAGATGCTCAGTGTTGGCACTGCACACACATGCAGCTTCCTGCAGTGTCACTCTGTGTTGTCTCATACAGTCCCTGCCACACAGTCCTCAAACAGTAGATAATTTGCTCACCACCCGCTCTGTACCAGGCACTTGATGCAGACCCCTCCCCCCCTGCCATGTTACTGTCCCTGTCTTCATTGAAAGATGGGAGGTCGTCTACTAAGAGTAATGGCTTTCAACCTTGACTGCAGATCGGAATCATCTACGATTTTTAAAACTGCCAGTGCCCAGGCCCTACCCCCGATACAGTTGGTCTGGAGAGGAGCCTAGGTATCAGTATACCGTAAAACTTATAGGAGGTTCACAAGTCATCAGGGCTTAACAGAGTCCACACAAGGGAAGTACCAGTTGTCATGGGAGCACTGCAGGGGTGCCCGGACTTCATGGGAGGGTGTTCTAGCAGATGGGGCAGCATAGGCAAAAGCCTGGAGGTGAAGGATGTCTTAAAGGAACAGAAAGAAATTTGGTGTGGCTGGAACATGTGGGTGGTCAAGGACCACATAATTGCTGCAGTTTATCATAGGTCAGAGGAAAGCCATCCTAGGGTTTTAAGAAGGGAAGAGTGACATGAGTTATGTTTTAGGAGAATCATTCAGTTGCTGGGAGAATAGATTGGAGGAGGAGGAAAGTAAAAGCAAAGAGGCCACTGGGAGGCTGCTAACAGAACACCAGGCTCAAAAGATGCCTAGACTGGAGTATACCCAGGAGAGGAGTGAAGAGCTTCAAGATCAGAGGCACAATTGATAGAACCTGGTGGTAGACTGGAGGCAGGGGAAGAAGGAGGAACACGGATGGCCCCCAGGTTTCCGACTGCACAGACATAAAGTGCCCATCCCTGGGATAGGGAAACAGAGGAGAGGAAGATTTGAAGAGGAAGATGATGCATTTAGACAGACATGTAGAGGATGGGGTGCTGGTGAGTGTTTTAACTGCGTTTCCTTAGGTTCTGTATTTGTCTCTTTGGCATCCATAAATCACAGGGCCAACCTAATGTCCAGGGTTATTTACATCTCCCTGCAATCCAGAGCTCATACTCTGAGTCACTTCCTTTCTCTAACTTTCACATTCCAAGCCAGTATCTCCCCTGCCCTAAATCGACCCAGGACCAGGTAACTAGTACCAGTCCCTGTGCCCCAGAGTGCTCTGGGATTATTCAAACTAGGCAGCCCCAAACCACTTCTCCGGCCTTACTGGGAGAAGTACACCCCAGTAAAGGACTGTACCTTCCCCTCGCTCCTTTCTGCCTCCTGTGTGACACTGGCACTTCCCCCTGTGACTGTGCCTTTTGTTTCTAGGGGAACTGTGAATAACATTAAGCTTTTCTTTCAATGGCAGTGACCTCTTCATGTCCTCACTCAGCCACCTTTGTAAATTAAGACTCAGGCACAAATTAGTAGGATATTCAATGCCTGAAGTGGCCTGGGGCTTAGAGATTGGATCTGGAGAATTGGTAATCATCGGCATTTAGGTGGTATATTAGTTGGCAGTTTGCTCTAAGAAAGCACTACAAACTGGGTGTCTTAAACCAGGGCTCCCCAACCGCCTGGGCTGCAAATTGGTACTGGTCCATGGCCTGTTAGGAAGCAGGTGAGCAGGGTGAGCAAGCATTACCGCCTGAGATCAGTGGTGGAATTAGATTCTCATAGGAGTGCAAACCCTATTGTGAACTGCACACAAGAAGGATCTAGGTTGCGTGCTCCTTATTAAAATCTAATGCCTGATGATCTGAGGTGGAAGTTTCATCTCAAAACCACCCCCTCACCCCCAACCCTTCTGATATGTGGAAAGATTGTCTTCTCTGAGGCTGGGCACCGTGGCTCACGCCTGTAAGGCCCAATGCTTTGAGAGGTCAAGGCAGGCGAATTACGTGAGGTCAGGAGTTCGAGACCAGCCTGGCCAACATGGTGAAACCTCGTCCCTACTAAAAAAAAATACAAAAAAATTAAAAATAAAAATTAGCTGGGTGTGGTGGCGCACACCTGTAATCCCAGCTATTCGGGAGGCTGAGACATGAGAATCACTTGAACCTGGGAGCCGGAGGTTGCAGTGAGCTGAGATAGCACCACTGCACTCTAGCTGGGATGACAGAGTGAGACTCTGTCTCAAAAAAAAAAAAAAAAAAAAAAAAAAAAAAAAAAAAGATTGTCTTCTCTGAAACTGGTCCCTGGTGCCAAAAAGGTTGGGGACTGTCTTAAACAACAGAGATTTATTGTCTCACACTTCTGGAGACTAGAAGTCAAGATTGAAATATCAGTAGGGTGGGTTCGTTCTGGGAGGCATGAGGAATAATCTATTCCGTGCCTCTCCCCTGGCTTCTGGTGTTTTGCTGGAAATCTTTGGCACTCCCTGACTGGTAGAAGCATCACCCTGATCTCTGTCTTCATCTTCACAAACATCTTAGTGTGTTTGCGCTGCTATAACAAAACCCCACAGATTGGGTCATTTACAAACAACAGAAATTTATGCCTCACAGTTCTGGAGACTGGGAAGTCCAAGATCCAGGCACTGGCAGGTTCGGTGTCTGTGAATGTCTGTGCCTCAGAGATGGTGCATCTGGGTTTCCTCACGTGATGGAAGGGACAGAAAGGCAAGAGAGCAAGAGGGCTGAACTCTCTCAGAAACCTCTTTCATAAAGTCATTAATCCGTTCACGAGGGGAGAGCCTTCATGGTTTCATCATGTCCCAAAAGGCCCTACTTCTTTTTGTTTTTTTTCAGAGGCAGGATATTGCTCTGTCACCAATGTTGAAGTACAGTGGCAGGATCACAGCTCACTGTAACCTCAAATTCCTGGACTCAAGGGATCTGCCTGCCTCAGCCTCCCAAATAGCTGGGACTACAGGCATGCACCACCATGCCTAATATTTATTTATTTATTTATTTATTTATTTATTTATTTATTTACTGTAGAGACATGGTCTCACTATATTGACCAGACTGGTCGAAAACTCCTGGCCTCAAGAGATCCTCCCACTTCAGCCTCCCAAAGTACTGGGATTACAGGTGTGAGCCACTGTGCCCAGCTTCCTCCTCTTAATATCACCACAATGATGACTAAGTTTCAGCACGTGAATTTGGGGGGATATTCAGGCCATAGCAATGTTCTTCCTATGTGTGTGTCTGTGTCCACATTTCCTCTTTTGATATGAACACCAGTCATATTGATTAAGGGCCCACCCTACTCCAGTATGAACTCATCTTAATTAATGACATCATTATTTCCAAATAAGATCACAGTCTGAGGTATTGGAAGTCAGGACTTCAACATATAACTTTGTGAAGGACACGAGTCAATGCATAACAGTGATGGGAGCTAGGTGAGCAAATGAGCACATGAGCAGATGGAGAGTGAGGAGACGGCCCGGAGGAACTCTGATGCTAAAGAAAATGGAGACCTTTTTGAAATGACCAGAGGTAGGAGAGGTGTTGCTGAAACCAGCGGAATCCGTGATCTAAAGAGGCAGTGACTAGCAGTATTTATCACTGGGAGGACAGGATGAGAGTGGGCTTGTCGCTGTGATGACAGTGTCGCTGTGACGGAGTGTCACAAACAACTCAGGAAGAGTTCACCCTGACACCCCAATACATATGCCTCTAACACTCTGCACTGCCAGACCCCTGGGCAGTCAGTCACACGTTGGCCATACCCTGAAGTGCACACTATCATTTATTTTTTATTTATTTCTCTATTTATGTTTTGAGACATAAATAAATTTATGTCTTTGTCACCCAGGCTGGAGTGCAGTGGCGCAATCTCGGCTCACTGCAAGCTCCACCTCCCGGGTTCACGCCATTCTCCTGCCTCAGCCTCCTGAGCAGCGGGGACTACAGGCGCCCGCCACCACACCCAGCTAATTTTTGTTTTTAGTAGAGACGGGGTTTCACTGTGTTTACCAGGATGGTCTCGATTTCCTGACCTCGTGATCCTGCCGCTTCGGCCTCCCAAAGTTCTGGGATTACAGGCGTGAGCCACCGTGCCTGGCCCCTGAAGCCCACACTATCACACGGATGCACAGTCACACAAAATACTCCCTACCGTGTCACAAATTCCTCATACACAGAGCCACACATGCCAGCCACAACTGCACATGCTAATAGTGTTAGGTTCCATTTTGTCACATACGTCTGGGTCCCTCAGGCAGAGAAAGTGGCAACCAAAGCATGACCACAGTTAAACATAATTCTGATGCACACTGGCCTCACTGTCTCTTGGTCTCTCTGTACTCATATGTGTGCACACAGGCATATGCACACATCCGCGCACACATACACGCTCACACACGTGCATCCTTACACACGCTCACACGCACGCTCACAATGTCACACGCGTGTGCGCACACGCACACGAGCACACTCACGAGCACACGCGGACCGCACACGCGCACATGCGCACTCACGCACGCGCACACGCGCGCACTCA